GCGGGAGGGGAAGCACGGACAAAAGCTGCTTGAAAAAAGCAATTTGGGGGTCCCGTCGGATACATCGGAACAAAAACGAGAACTCCAAAATGTGGGTGGTGCAAGAGAGGAGACCCACCTGAACACCGACGTCTCCGTTCTCCCCCAAACTCACTGCCTTTCACAGGCGCTGAAAACAGCTAGTGCCCGACGCGGCTAAAACAGCCACGCGAGGGGCAAAATAGGCTGAATGCAGTTGAAAATAAAAACCACGGTTAAAAAAATCTCCAACTATCCCAGGGGGGTGGAGGGGGAGGAATATTACACTGTGCAAAATGTGCATTCCCCCCCCCACTTTGAAGGCACAGAAATGATGCGGGAATCGAAACGCACTTCGCTCTTCGCACCGCCCGGGGTCTGCAGAAAGCCATCCAGACCGACCAAGGTCTGTGGGTTCCTTGCTTCACGGGGGAGCAAAAATGTCTATTTTTGAAACATTTGCGTAGGTGGGAAAAATCTCACTGGGTTAGACCCTGCTGGAGAACACCTTGTTAAATGAGCAGCGCCTCTCGCCTCTTGCCCGGTGAGCTGTCGCCAACAGTACGGGGGGCACGGGGTATCCTGCTGGGCGTCTCTCGAGGGCCACCCTAGTGCGCTGATGCGTCTGCCTCCTGCAAAGGGGAAAACGCAAACCGGGAAGCATCAGGACAAAGCGGCAACTCGGGTGATGCAAGGGCCCGAGTTCGAATCTCGGCATCTCCTGCACTCGGAGAGATGGCCGGTGAGGGAGAGCAACGAGCCAAGGGCCAAACAGAGCAAGGGGGTTGCCGGATCCCATCGAGGCCCAGGCCGGCGCCAGCAAAACGCGTCCAAGCAGCCCTTAAGCCAAAGGTATCCAAAGGTAGACGATCACTGGATGAGGCAGCTCCACTTTTCTCTATCCCACCCGCCCATCCGTGAACCAGCAGCAAGGAAAATAGAAGTTCAGACTCTTTGATACGCTAGCTTTCTATCAACACACACACACAATTATTTGTCTTGGATCTAGGGGGACGTTTAAGGGTACCACTTGAGGTGGCAAAGGAGGTGCCCCAAGAACCTTCCACATGCACAGACACACACACACTCTCTCGGCCGCCTGCAGAAAAGCCTTGCAAAGTCACCCCTGCCCACTGGTTTTAATTTTTATTCCTGTCAATTGCCTGGCTGACTCCTCGCCCTCCCGATTCCTTCGCCTCGCTTCCCACGCTGCCCCCCTGCCCGGGCAGAGCCCCCGGCCCCAATCTGCCTTCTCAGAAGCGCGCCCACTCACTGCCCCTTCGCCCTCCTGAGCAGCTGCCTCCCCTTCCTTTCCTTCTCCTCCAGATTGGCCTCCCCTTCCTCCTCGAGCGCACCAGCTGCCTTGCCCCCCCACCAGCCGAGCGGGCGGCACTGCTGAAAAATCCCTGCCCTCCGTCTCCAGAGAGGGCTCGGTGCTCCTCCAGCGCGGAAGGGGGGGAGGCCCTCGCTGCGCCAGCCGCGGCAAGCAAGCAAGCGGGCAAGCGCGGGAGGCAGAGAAGGCGACCCGCGGCTGCCGTCCTGTCCTCCCTGCCCGCCTTCTCCCCCGGAGAAGCCGGCGCTCTACAGGTAGGAAATGGGGAAGGGCTCCGAGCCACCCAGGAAGAGGGTCAGGGCAGCTGGTGGGGATCCCCCAACGACAGGGGGGTCCCCGGATCCCTAGCAAAGAGGCGCAAAAGAGCCGGGAGCGGAAGGGGCATCGGTCCTGCGCCCAGCCTTCGGCGTGGCCCTCCTGGCAGTGCCCCCCGGCCCCGGCGCCCAGTCCTCCCTATGCCAAGGCTTCCACCCCCCCTCGATGGACGGGCCGCCGGGGAGCCTCAACGCCAGCCTGATCGGGCGGGAGCCTCAGCCCCGCGGCAGCGCCTGGACGGCCGCCTTCCTCTGCTTCGTCATCCTCTTGACCATGGTGGGCAACCTCGCCCTGATCCTCCTCATCTTCAGCCAGCGGCTCCTGCGCAACACCTCCAACTTCTTCCTGGTGTCCCTCTTCATGTCCGACCTCATGGTGGGCCTGGTGGTCATGCCGCCGGCCATGCTGAACCAGCTCTACGGGCGCTGGGTGCTGGACGGCGCCTTCTGCTCCGTCTGGTTCTCCTTCGACGTCATGTGCACCAGCGCCTCCATCCTCAACCTGTGCGTCATCAGCCTGGACCGCTACCTGCTGATCATCTCGCCCCTCAAGTACAAGCTGCGGATGACCTCCGGCCGGGCCTTCTGGCTCATCCTGGCCACCTGGACGCTGGCCGCCTTGGTCTCCTTCTTGCCCATCAAAATGGGCTGGCACGAGCTGGAGTTCGACCGCCACCCCCTCAACGTCACCCGGCAGCTGGAAGAGGAGCAGTGCCGCCTCCTGGTCAGCCTGCCTTACGCCCTCATCGCGTCCGGCCTGACCTTCTTCCTCCCCTCCGCCGCCATCTTGTTCACCTACTGCCGGATCCTCCTGGCCGCGCGGAAACAGGCCATCCAGGTGGCTTCCCTCACCAACAAGGCCGCTGGCGAGCCACCTCCACAGGTAAGCAGGACGGCAGCCCAGGGGGTTTTACTTGCACAGGCAGGGAAGCGGGCTGGTTAAGGGCCGGGGGTCTTGGGGAAGCCCCCCGCCCCAAACACGGAGTGCGTTTGCTCCAGAGGGAAGTGAACTCCACGCATGCTCAGAGAGGCAGTGCTACTCCCAAAGTCTTCCTTCGCTGGGCAGCCACGGGTACTGCCAGCGCTGCATCGGTCAGGGCTCCGGGAAAATGAGACCCACGCCGGGCCTGTCTCTGTCCACTGGCCCCGGAAAGGTTTTTTTCCGCTGCCAGCAGGCTTCTGTTTTTCTGCCCCGTTGATTTTCTTTTCTTTTCTTTTCTTCTTCTTTTTTAATTCCTTTGGACTTGGCATAGCAAGCTGCGCCCTGGCCCTCTCATAACCCACTGAAATGCAAGGGCCCTGTGCCCCCTTCGGGAGAATTTCACCAGGGTTTTCTCCTCCTCCAAGAGCAACAGGCAGCAGAAAGCAACTTCTTGTGCACTGAATGGCGGGAGGGCTGGATAAAAAGGGGGAAATGGCAAGATGACACTTTCCTGCGGCTTTAGCAAAGGCTGCAAATGAAAGTGACCTTTCTCAAGGGGGGGCATCGATTTGGAAAACGGTTTCAGCTGCAGAGGAACCCGCTGGCCTCTGCACGAGTCCACGTTCTGGGGGCAACCACCCCTTCTAATGAGGCCCTGCTCTGAGTGCAGTGCAGCTAATCACAGGGTTGGAGCCTGCTTGTTGCCCCCCTGTAAGAGTCCCTGCTTCAACCTCCACCTAAAGACAGGTCCAGACCAGCATCTGATGCTGAAAACGCAGAGCGACCGGCTTCTCTCGAAAGGAGGACCCATGCGTGGAAGCTGCCAACTCTGGCACTTCAACAGGTTAAGCGCCCCCAGGGTGGAAGAAAGAGATGGCAAATGTTCATTTTGGGGAGGGCAGGATCCTAAAGCCACCCGCGCCACCTGTTTTGATTGAAAAGGTTGGGGAGAAGGCAAGGCGTGGGTTCCTAAAAGCCAGGTGCTGCCTCCGTTGAAACATCCAGCCTGCCCACCGGGCGTTGCAGGTGGCATTCTCCTGAACGCACCCGGAAAGGCCCCCAGTCGTTTTACTAGGGAGAAGAGCAAATCTCTGGACGGCCACGAGATGGCACATGAGGCTACAGAAAAGTTCGACCTCAGACTCAGCAGCCCGAGACTCTCCCGTTGGCATTGGGCAATGAAGTCCCGTTTCTACACTTGGCCTTTCTGCCTTACTCGCCAACAGAGGCCACGCCATCAGCCCTGTGGCTCCCAGAGCGGGAGTGCAATTCCCAAAATTTCCAAGCTGGCTAGACAGGAATTCTGGGAGTTGTAATCCTAACCCACCTGGAGAAAACCCGGCTGTTTCCCAGCCCAGCCTCCCATCACCCCGAGCCACCAGTGCGATTTTCCTGAAAGAGGTCACCAGCTGGATATACGTAAAGGCCAGCACCCTCTCCCTTGTGGCTGGCTCTAAGGTAGCCTGCCCCTGTCCAGAGAAGTCCCATTTCCCTGGCACGCCCGACAGCGACGGACTGTGCCAAGGGCCTCCGTGGGTCTGCTGAAGCCTTGAGAAAAGCCCGCTGCGCTCTTGCATTTCGCCCACCCAGGGTCTGGACCTTGCGCCAAAGCTTTGCCCCTGAGAAATCCACGCCTTTTAAATTCGAGAGTTTGGGGAAGGGGCCGCAATCTCCCCCTGCCCCCTCCACAAAATATCTGCAGTCCCCAGAATAAAAGAGCAGAGGTGGAGATGAACTGTTCATTAGGAGGAGGGAAGGGGAAAAAAAAGAAAAAATTCAGCACCAGCCCGGTGTTCTCCCCCCCCCAGTAATCCACCCACCACCCTGTGCCATGTGTGAGTAGGCAGAGAGCAAATGCTCCGCTTTGGAGGAAGCACAGAGTGACTCCTAATGGCTTCCCCGCCCTCTCCGCTTACCAGACGCAGCCAAGGAATTAAAGCTGCAGGGGCCTGAATTCGGATCCCGGCTGGGTGCAGTCTGCAGAGCCTCCACTTCAAGGGCAGTCTACCCGCCAGTTGTAAGGGGTGGAGAGGCGGTGCAAGAGAGGGCAAACTCCTTGGGTGTGACGGCTCCTCTAACCACCCTGGAAAGGTGGCCGTCATCTTAGGGGTGAAGCTGCCAAAAATCTCCCCATCCGAACGGGCTCCATTGGCGAAATCGTTCCACAGACGATGGGGTGGCACAGCCTAGGAGGGGCATTTAGGCGCCGGGACGGTTCCCAGGTTCTCCAATTAAAGTCCCACGACTGCACCCCGCTGCTCCTACAAAAGCTGCCATAACTAGGGTTAGTCATGAAGCGAGCCCATGCAATGCCCGGGCATCCAATTCTACTCAAAGGAAACTTTACTCCTGGCCCGTCCTTCCTCCATCGGAGCCCTCCAAGTACGCCTGACTACAGGCCCCCTCCCTCCCAGCGTCTCTACAGACCCCTCGCTCGGACCTCCACCGGAATTGCCCGAGGGGTAGCTGGGCAGCCCTGCCGTGCCCCCTGGCAGCGGAAAACCACTCCACGGACCAGGCCCACCCTTTTGCCTTTGGAGGTCTGAGTCTTTCGCTCCGTCCACTCGGGCCTCCCTCTGCAAAATCTAATTAAACCTTTTGCAGAGTTCAACAGGCACTTAAGCGGGTGGGAAATTAAACACTCCAGCAGGGTTTTGCCTCGGAAGGGGTGGGCTGCCGGAACCAGCTTTGATGAATAACATCATCTTTCTTCCTCTTGGCACGGGAGAGTTTTGGAGCTCTCCCTGCTGCGGGCAGGGGGGAGAAAAACAAATGTTCCCAGCAAGCGAAAGTTAATTAGCTAATATCGTTTAGTCACCAAGCCGCTCGTTGGGAAGGAAAAGGCACCAGGACGCTGACAGCGTAAAGCCAGAAGCGGAACCCAGCTTGCCAAAAATCTCCGTGGTGAATACCAAGGGGTGGAAACGAAACAAAAGACTAAGTTTCTAGTCCTCACGGCTGCAAAAGCTAACGTCATCCTATTGCCTTGGAGAGCCTCTAAGCTGAAAAGGTACAGAGAAATACAGCCAAAGTAATAAACCCGAACTGACCATTTCTCTCTGCCTTTTCTTTTGACGTTCTTTCCCAGCCGCAAATTCCGTAGCTGCTTCATACGTATTCCAGCAATTTTAAACCCTCCCTTTTTTCTCAGGTTTATCTCCAAATCTTTAGACAACACGCACCCGTGCTCTTTTTCAAGATGCACATCTGAAGAAAATAAAAATAAACCGGAACACTTAACCGCTGTCCAAAGAAGCAAATTACAAACCTGCCTACTTAACATAGAAGATTTAGGGTGTAATCCCTTCACTGTTTACACAAAAGTAAGCTCTAATGAACCTAGACTTCAGAGTTTCTGGCTCCATTTTTTAATTTATTTAATGGTATTTTATTGGAATTTTAAAGTTAGTTTCTGGCTCCATTTTAAGCCTTAAGGTTACTAGTTTAGTTCTGGCAACGTATTTCGAATTCAGCATGGTGGCTGGTTTATGGCACACGTGAGCGTAGCTAACCGGCTTACTGAATAAACGAGGATTCAGCTAAGTTTTAGTGCAATATATAAACCAGGATGTACAACTAGGAAAGTGCTGGAACTCTTCTAGGTATAGCTGTTTAATTGCAAAACCTTGCCGATTTCCAAATAATACCACAAGATCTATAATAAAGCAACGGTCTGTCAGAAGGTTTGTTGTAAACCCAGGAATAGCACAGCCGTCTCTGTTTCTCCCACCCTCTGTAATTAATAATGAGTTGATCAGCCTTTTATGCAAACCCTAACCCTCAGTGAAATCACCAGCAGCAGAAACAGCAAGAAACAGTCCCCGTCTTCCAACATTTAAATTTGACTTTTGATCCAAATGCATGTCTAGGACCGTGCCTTTTTTTTCAGGATTATTCCCGCACTTCCATCACCTCTCCTTTGAGCAGGCTGTATAGAATCATAAACGCCAAGTAATTTAACTTGGAAATAATTGCCTCTAATTGACTTTATATCGTGCAGAAGGAGAAAAAGGAACATAATTGCTTTTAAATGCTAAGACGCAGCTTTTAGAAATCTTACTTCCCCTCGTTATTAGGAAATGCAGAAACCCAGTTGCTGATTTTTGGCTTAGGAATTTTTTTTCTTTTCTTCAGAGAAGAAACAGGCTCGAGTTTTCCAAGTTATCAGTAGGGGTGATGAAGCAACAGCCTAAATTATTTCTTTTTTGGATGATGATAAATAGACGTGTGGTAAATGCAGCTCTTTGCAGAACCCTGCTGCTTATTTATTTTTAACAAATGAACTCGGTCATCTTAGTAGTTTCAGGAAAGAACATTATTATTTTATTTATTTATTATTCATATTCATACGCTCGCCCATCTCACGCAATGGGACTCTGGGTGGTGTACAAAGCGACCAGAAAAACACTCTTAAGAACATTCAAAAGTGCAAAAAATAATACTATTATAAAAGGCTGAGAGAGAGCATCGGATTATAAACAACGGAGCCATGCAATCAAATTACCGTTGTAAATGTTATATAATTGCAATGTTGTTTTGCCATTGTAAATATTATAACGGCTTCCTGCAGGATCAATATACGTACAGCTTCACCCCAGTGCTATGCAATCACCTGCAAATCTGACAATGAAAAGAAACCCTTTAAAAACATCCTGGGATGTCTGGAATTAACAGAATGCAAACTGTCTTCAATCCGTTGTTGGAAAGCTGGAGAAAGGAACGGAAGAACTGGAACAACGAAGCTGATTCGATCAATACTCTTGTTTGTTAGCACCTGGCAATCAGCGACTAGCAGCCGGGGTTGAAATCCGGCCAAAATATCAGTTCTGCTTTTTCAGCAGGTAAGAGGACCCTGATAGCATTGCACAGTCTTGCTGTTAGGAAGATTAAAAAGAAACAGGGCATCTCCAGGATGAGGAAGAGTCCTTCAGCACCCCAAGTATGTCAGCAACAAGGAGAGCGCCCAAGTTCATGCTAAGCCATGGTTTGCTTATCCAGGGTGTAACAAACTGCCCGAATCCAAGGGGCATCATTTCAGCTCAAAAAAAAGCATTCCTCAGCACAGAAAGTCCCAGTTTTAAAGGGGGCTGTTCTTTTCTTAGCCTCGCTGAAAATCAACACCATGAATGACCAGCATTGGGGCTTCTGTCATCAAGCGATGGTTCCTTAACCCACCCACGAAGGGTCACCACGCTGCCTAATTTAATCTCCCCCTCCCTTTCAATTCTGCACTAGCCATAGCCAAAACCTGGCAGTCGGAATTACTTTTACAAACCGAAACACACAATTGCACGAGCATCTTCCTTTTCGGTAGAAACTTTTTAAAAGGCGTCGGGCTGTTCTGCCAGAGAAAAGACTAGGATGCTTCCACGGGACATATGGAGAAGAAAAAGTCTTCTTCGATTGCAATTGTGGGGGGGAGTACTCTGGTTTCTGGAAACTGCCTCTCTCTTGCTCAAATCACGAGGACCAGAAACTTGATTTTCTTTGCCCATGTCCTGGTTAGGCTGATTTATTTATTTGTAATTTTCTCTCCATTGCTACGTGTTTTATGGATTTTTCTGGCATGTGTTTTATTGCTTTTAATACGGTTAGCTGCCCAGAATCGTGTATCTGAGATGGGTGGCCGTATCCATCTAATGAATAAATACGTGAATTCTAATATTTGGGGAGGGGATTTCGAAACCATGGGAGCCCCGTGAGAAATCAGAATTCTTTGGGGCGACCAACCTCCAGCAAAGCTGAGTGGGTCTCGCCCACAGCAGGATGCAAAGATAACCGTTCAATTCACAGGCAGGAGGGCCTGAAAATGCACTGACAGACATGCTCCATTTCTTTCATGTAACCATTTCCTTTAATAATTCTAATTATTCCAGCCACATCAAAACCATCTAAGAAACTCAAGAGGAAAAAAAACTCCTATCACCTCAGAGAGCGGACCCTGCCCGCTCACCCACCCCCAGCCATTTTGGACAGCAGAAAAATGGGGGGGGGGTCACTTTTGAGAATGGAAACCAACCGGAGGGGCTCCCCGGGTCCCTGGCCCTGGAAGGGGATGAGCTCCGACATTAGAGGAAGCCCAGCTGGGTCTGATTTTACGCAGCTGCGTAAAAGGGGAGGGGAGACCCGCCTGAAGCAGCCGCTGAGGGGAAGAAAACAGTTCCAAAATCCCGCGAAAGCCGAGAAAAATTACGGATCCAGGCTGCCCCGCCGGCCCCCTCAGCCGCCCCGTTTGAACCCCCCACCCAGGAGCAGTTTCAACCACTAGTGCCAACTCCTCATAGGGGCGAAGGG